TTGAGAATAGTTACCAGAAAAACGCAATTTTTCATTTTTGAATTTAGCTATTTTATTTTGCTCTATAAGGAAATATTTAAAGAATTATTTTATAAACTGCCTGAGGCAACTGAGGCTTTTTATATAAACAGAATTTTAAGTATTTCGAGACTTAAAATCATTCAGTTATAAACCAAAATAATGCATGGAGAAAAAAATTCTGGTAAAATTATCGTACTGTCTGATAATGGTATTCTTGGTAAAAAAAAACAACAACAACATACTTCTGGTTAATAAAACCAAAATATACTGCATTTAAATCATTCATTTAGCAATTTTTTCGTTCATATAGTAATGGTTTAACTGGAAATTCACGTTTTCAAAATTATAGTTCTTATCATCACACAATTTAATTATTATTAAAAGTAAGTTTAACCAAATAAATGCTTTTTTGTTATGCTCTAAGGTGTCAGGAAAAAATGACCAAATTTTACCACAATTACTAAATTTTATCACACATTATTTTTAATCACTTTCATAGTTAATTTTACCAAATTCGTTGCTAAAGCATTTCTGTAAGAACTACAGAGATTTTTGATGTTCCCAAAACAAGTGGAAAATATGGTCAAAACTACCAAAATCATATTTTGGTAATTTTGACCTTATTTTTACCTTCGTGTATAAAAGTATGAATTCATACTGCTCATGTGAGAGTGGATTTAGTGTTCATGTTCGTATGTGTCCTTTTTATTTTAATGATTGCGTGAAAAAGTGGGACAATTTATTAAAATGTTCATAACAAACATATGTTAACATTTAAAAAAATGTGTTAGTTATTTCAATAACATTGATTGAAAACAAAACAAACTAGCAACTACTTAGTGAAAATCAAACTGCGCACTTAATTGCTATTTTTAAATATGCAAGGCAATGAATTTATTCTTAAGTTTTTCATCGCCGAACTAAAAATGAACTTCAAACTGTTATAAAATTTAAGTTAAGAGAATACACATATCTAAAACGGTAAACAATGTATTTTATAGCTCAAAAATAAATTTAAAAAAATAATTTAGCTTAATGGCACGTTAAAAAAAAGCTAAAAGCCAAGGGAATGAGTATTTACGTTAAATTTGAGGTAAACATGAATATTTAGTTTTAACTTACTCCAGCGTAACATATTTTTTCTATACTTTCTTAATTTTAGTTAGGTTGAAAAGTTAATAACAGTAAAGTAATTTAAGTTCATTTGAACATTTGTTTTACTGATTCGAAAACCAAACGATAATCTTATTTCAAATTCCTAAATATAATTTAAACGTGTCAAATAAAACGTTTTGTCTTATAAAAATTCCTATGAACAATGCATTATGTTTCAAAAAATTTTTTTTAAGGCTTAAACATTTTCTGAAAATACCTGAAAATGTTTTTTTTACTGGGGAAATGATTTTTTAAATGGGAAACCCTAATCCATGGAAACAAATATTTGTTTATTTAAAGAAAGAACGAAGTTTAATTTCGTAATTTAAAATATCTCACGCATTAATGAATGAGAATATTCGAGGTCAGCCCCTCAATTCATTAAGATTGAGTCCTAGAATTTGCAGATCAAATCATTAGATCAAAAATTATTCAGGCTGAGCCATTTTTTCTTCTTCTTTTGAGCATTGTACATGTGTTTCGATATACATATATTAAACGTATGTACAATATATCTATAAATATTGATTGAATGTATATGTACAGTACGCAAAAATAAATGAATAAAGGAGCCACACCCAAAATAACTTTTGATCTAATGATCGGATTTAAGTGTTGTAGGACTTAATCTTAGTGGTTCGGGAGGGTAAACTCAAACATGCTAAATCAGTGCAGGCAATATTTTAAATTACGAAATAAGACACACAAATAAAGCCCTTTCTTTGAATAAACATACCACTTTTTCGATGGGTTCACATTTCTGACCCCCAAAAATACCGAAATCTGGAAAATATGATCTCTCTAGTTTGGTCAGAAGAGCGATCCAAAATTTGGACCCCTTGATGCTAATTTTACTTTTTGCGTATTTCGTCATATCTCGCGAACTTTTAAAGCGAATTGAAAAATTTTCGCTCGTAAATATAAAATTCGTTTATCTAAAGATAATTAATTCTATGCAAAAAATAAATTTTACTTAATATTTAATAATAGTAAAAAAAAATTTAACTGTAAGGCATACAACCTTTTACATTAATTTTAAAGAACGTAATATTGCAAGGCAAAGTACAAAACCTGAGCGAAATCGGTCGAATAGTTTCTGAGAAATCAATCGAATTTTAAACTTACGACTTTTTAAAAAAAATTCGATTTCTCAGGAACTATTCAACCGATTTCCACCTAAGTTTGCAGTTTTCCATGTAAAATCACATTCTTTAAAATGAAGTAAAAAATTGTATACCTTACAGTTATGAATTTTTTCGACCATTATTAAATAAAATAATAAAAAATTAATAAATATTTACTAAAATGTATTTTTCTCATGGAACTATCTTTAGATAAATGAATTTTACAATTGTGTCCAATTTTTTTTTTCAATTCCCTTAAAAAGTTCTTGAGATAGTGTGAAATTCGCAATATTAAAATAAACATTAAGGATGTTCAAACTTTCGACAGTTGTTCTGATTCAAACTATGGGGTCCATATTTCCCAGATTGCAGCTACTCCTTCATATTTTTTCTGTCAGAAAATTGAATGCGTAGGAAAAAATTCAATTTTTATTCAGAGAAAATACGTTTTTGAGTCTGATTTTGTAGCTTAGAACTATCATTTAATGAAAAAATTATTGCTCGATTACCTCACTCACATACTAAATTTTTTCATTCTTCGAACGCAAATTTAAATATTAAACTTCATTCTTTATCGCTGAATTCATCAAAATCTACCAAATTTTTCTGCTCATATAGAACCACAGTTTTAGGTAGATCAAAGCATCTTGAATAGTATGCCACAGCTTTGGAACGATCGTCGACGTCCGCTGTAAATGTTTTGATTTTGCTGTTAAAGTTAAAATGATATTCCACTACGTTTGTTCCACTTTAATTTACGGATTTTCGTAAAATCTATTATTTTCTTTTACGTAAGTTTGATATTTTTTCACGGGTGCATGCCCAATTACTTAAATCCTTACGTACGGGAACTTACGGATGCTAACTTAAATTTGCGAAATCTCCCTATTATTTTTTATTGTGTCAACTTGGTTGCTTAGCAACGGAAAAACGATAGGTATTTTCTCTTTTCTATCACATAGTTCGTTTAAGGTTATCTTAAATTTCTTTTCCTGCTACGGTGATATTATTTTGGATATTTTGGGGGGATTACACCTAATATATATATGGCTTTCTTGCACACAAATTTATGCCCCAATTTTTTCGAAATTTTGTCTAACCTCTATAGTTTTAGGGTCAGAAATCCAAATATGCAAAAAAATTATACGTTTATTCACAGAAAGTACGCTTTTGTATCTGATATCGTAACTTAATTAATAGTTAGTGCTAATTAAATCGTGTATTTGAGGTCAACCCTTTGAACCATTAAGATTGACACTTAGTACGTGAACGTCTGATCGTTAGAACGAAAGTTATTCAGGGGGATACCTTTTGTATTTTGCGCACTGTACATGAAAGGAGAATTTCTTATTTATTTTTAAACGATTGCATCCTAAGAACGCCTAATGTAAATTTTTATTCCAAAAAAGTAATTCTTACTGTTAATTAAGAAAGAAATATGTGAAAAATACTGGCATCTGTTTGATACACACTGAAATGTAATATATATATTTTACTAGTTTTATTTTGATTACCTTCTAATATCAAATTCTATAACTGAATGTGTGAGATGGTAATATGAAAATCAATATGTTAAACCAAAACAAAAAGATTAAGATATAATTTTAGACCTTTACCCCTTTGTTGAATATAGTAGGTCATTACTTAGCTCGATCAACCAGTACGTTTGGAGAATTTGAATTCAAATTATTTAAAATTTTTAATGTGCATGGTTTGAAAATAATGCAAAAGGATAAAGAAAAAAAGAAGTACGTACAAAAGTACAAGAAAGGTTGGGAACACGAAAATCAGTTTAAAGGTTTAAGGGTAAAGGATTTTGTATCTTCTTCTTCTATGTTAAAAACGTTCAACAGCGAAAACATATACAAATCAGAAAGTATTGACGAAAATATGTTGGATATTTTATCAAAAACTTAAGCATAATGCTAGAATTAAAATATTAAAAAAGACTACATCGTTGATAATAAAAAAATTTATGAAAAAATGTGCAAGTCAAAAAGTATTGAAAAAAAATATCCTAAATATTTTAGTAGAAATTAAAGATCATGTAACGATTGAAATATAAAAAAGATTAATTTGTTGATAATAAAACATTAAAAAGTATTAAAGCAACGTTTTCTCTACGTTATTTAACTTTTGTACTATTTTTTAATACTTATACATTAAGTTAAAAATTTTGGGGTTTTTTAAAAATTTTAGGGGATTTTACAATGCTATCTGGGGGTGAACGGTTATCAGCAGCTGGCAACACTGTTACTTGCTGCATTATGAACTTATGTTGCCATCAAGCTCTCGTCATTTTATATTTTATTTTATAACCGTCGTTGAGAACAGCTGACCCAATTTTCGGTATACACCTATTAATGTTCAACTCCCGTAGCCTTGTAATTTTGAATCCAATCCAGAAATAAAGTAGTTTCGACCATTTTTTTGTGTTGATATACACTACAGTGTTTTAATGAACATAAAAATTGTGAATCTACGTTAAATCGTTAAGGTTTCATGAATACTATCTATGGAACTAATTCTAATTTTTTATTGCAATGTGCATTTAAGAACGCTTTGTAAATAATGTTTTCATTACGTTTGCTACCGATTTGAACTGAAAACAACCACATTTTTTTTTTAGACACACACAAAAGAAGAGAGAGAAAAAAAATAGTCAAACATTTGATTAAAATGAAAAATGTTCCTTTTTACCTTTGGGTGTGCCCTTTTGGGGAATGCAATCTTCGGATCGATCTAAAAGAGAGAGAGAGAGAAAAAAAAAGGGGACACTGAGTTACACTGAGTCCTCTTTGGC